ATTTATCATTAAATATTTACAAAATTGATTGAAAAATAATGTAACTATAAAAAAAACACCTGAAGATGAAGCCTTTTCATAAATTAATCATCAAATATTAGTCATCCCTGAATATTATTTTTCTTGAACAAATAAAATTGAAAAGCAAACAGTTCAAAATATGAAATAACAAAACTTTAATTTAGTTGTTAAAGAGGTTATATCAGTCTAAACCAACCAAACAATATTGGCAAATAATTTCTTTTCTCTTACCAGCAAGATATAAATCTACTTTCACCTCTTCCTAAAGATAAGATAAATTTAAGAATGAAACCTTTCATGGTGCTTCCTCACACCCTCATGAATCTGATAATTAACTAAAGGGCCCTTTAGCTTAAACATTTTGAAACAATACCTTGATCTGCATTGTAAATGTTTAAAAAGACAGTAATATAATAGAATATAAACCTCTGAATTTTTAGGAAGTGGTAAAAACACATTTACTAGAAAAAGATCTCTATAATTATATTAGTATTTAGCTAATACAGATATTTTTGTTTTATCTGTCTGATTTCTGAATCAATTGTCTTTTTACATGTTTATCTGGTTCCTTCTGTAAACGAGGGACTTTTCTGATTTGGTTTATGAATTTTTTCTGAAACGCAGAAAGAAATGTTTTTACATCTCGACATACTAAAAAGATGGAAACTAAAGAAATGTCATTGTTTGTTGTATCAACATGTGTGAGTAGAATAAGCATTTATTTCATATAAAATATGCAGCAGCTTAAAAATTCATGCCATTTTAAATGTAAAGGCATGGTAAGAGGATTGCTTTAAGAGTTTCCTGTCAGATACCCGTCACTGTATTTTCACCCTCCCTGCCCTTCTCTCTCCATCAGTGTCACTTTCTCCAGGCAAGTATTCTTGGAGCTCATCATGTTGATCGCTTCTAAAATCTAATTGTCTTCACTGCTCAACTGGAGGTGTGATTTCTACCCTCTTCTGCCTTGTAGGGGTATTAGGTACGGTGGCTGAGAAGTGCAAAACACATTTACAATTCAAAAACACATTAACAAATAAAAAACAAAATAACATTTGAAGAAACAAAATTATATTTTGTGAAACAAATGTATTTTTGAAAAAAAAGTTTAAATTTTTAAAAACAAATTTACATTTTAGCAAACAAATTTACATTAACAAATAAACAAAATAACATTTGAAGAAACAAAATTATATTTTATGAAACAAATGTATTTTTGAAAAAAAAAGTTTAAATTTTTAAAAACAAATTTACATTTTAGGAAACAAATTCACATTTTAAATAAGTTAGATTTTAGGTGAGAGAAAGTTTCATTTTAGAGAAAAAAAAATACATTATAGGGAAACAAATTTACATCTAAAAAAAAATTGACCGTTCGGAAACACTTGTACAAGTGCAAAGACAAAACTGCAAGTGGCAAAACACATTTACATAGCCAAAAACAAATTAACAGAAGACGGCTACACGGAAAGGGAATGTCCCAGTGGCCGGATGTGACGTCACGATTACCCTGACTTGTAGTACAAACAGCTCAAGCTGTAGTCCTCCTGCTTCACGTGAAAAGTCAGCGGCGATTTTAGATGAAAAGAATTGCACTGAAGCTGTTTTTCTTAAGTTTACGCTAACCGAACAATGTTTTCAGCCAATTTACACCATTTTGTTCTTCGTGCGGACGGTCTCTGGAACTTTTACGGGACACGGACCAGGTGGCAGGACCAAGCAGCAGCTATATATATATATATAGGCTATATATTGTGATGTTATCGCTTAATAACCTGTATTAAAATGTATTCTTTATGGGTTTCTTTTTATTGTGATGTTATTGCTTAATAAACTGCATTAAAACTTTTATAATGTCACATTTACTTGATGGAACGGAGTACTTTATCTGCGAATAAGTGGCCTCGGCCGGCAGCAGCCTGCCATCGGCCTCTCCGATGGCAGGCTCTGCCGGCAGCGGCCACCATCGGCCTCTCCGATGGCAAGCTCTGCCGACAGCGGCCACCATCGGCCTCTCCGATGGCAAGCTCTGCCGGCAGCGGCCACCATCGGCCTCTCCGATGGCAAGCTCTGCCGGCAGCGGCCACCATCGGCCTCTCCGATGGCAAGCTCTGCCGGCAGCGGCCACCATCGGCCTCTCCGATGGCAGGCTCTGCCGGCAGCGGGCAACAACGGCCACTCCGATGGCCGGCTCTGCCGCAGCCACTGTCACGAATTGAGCCCGGCCCTGCTGCTTGGTCCTGCCACCTTGTACCGTGTCCCGTAAAAGTTCCAGAGACCGTCCGCACGAAGAACAAAATGGTGTAAATTGGCTGAAAACATTGTTCGGTTAGCGTAAACTTAAGAAAAACAGCTTCAGTGCAATTCTTTCCATCTAAAATCGCCGCTGACTTTTCACGTGAAGCAGGAGGACTACAGATTGAGCTGTTTGTACTACAAGTCAGGGTAATCGTGACGTCACATCCGGCCACTGGGACATTCCCTTTCCGTGTAGCCGTCTTTTGTTAATTTGTTTTTGGCTATGTAAATGTGTTTTGCCACTTGCAGTTTTGTCTTTGCACTTGTACAAGTGTTTCTGAACGGTCAATTTTTTTTAGATGTAAATTTGTTTCCCTATAATGTATTTTTTTTCTCTAAAATGAAACTTTCTCTCACCTAAAATCTAACTTATTTAAAATGTGAATTTGTTTCCTTTAATGTAAATGTGTTTTTAAAAATTGAAACTTTTTTTTTCAAAAATAAATTGTTTCATAAAATATAATTGTTTCTTCAAATGTTATTTTGTTTTTTATTTGTTAATGTGTTTTTGAATTGTAAATGTGTTTTTAAAAATTTAAACTTTTTTTTCAAAAATACATTTGTTTCATAAAATATAATTTTGTTTCTTCAAATTTTATTTTGTTTATTTGTTAATGTAAATTTGTTTGCTAAAATGTAAATTTGTTTTTAAAAATTTAAACTTTTTTTTCAAAAATACATTTGTTTCACAAAATATAATTTTGTTTCTTCAAATGTTATTTTGTTTTTTATTTGTTAATGTGTTTTGGAATTGTAAATGTGTTTTGCACTTCTCAGCCACCGTAATTAGGGCTAAATTCATTCTCCAAATGAAGGACAAATTGTGGAAAAAGGGCAAATAAGACAGGCAGATTACAGAGTAAAGCAACAGCCTAAATATCTAATCGATAGATTTTTAGTAGTGAAAATCAACTACCGGTAACAAAAGTTTGATTTAATATAATAGTTTGCAAATGGGATTATCTTCATAATACCTTTCTAGCATAACTTTCTACTTAAGATCTATTCCTTTTGGCTGATATATTGTAGTTCAACAGAATATTAAAGAAACTACATACAATAAGATCTATCTATCTATTCAATTTGAAAAAAAGTTTTGATTGCTGTTATCATCAGCCTGGACTTATAAAACTAATTCAGCATAGAAAAGACAAATAGAGCAATCAGAAATTTAGCTTCAGTGAAAAATAAATAAATAAATAAATAAACTACTCCTCTTGATATAGTTTTGAGACATGATGACATATATGTGCTGACAAAGTTTGTTTAAATTAATATTTTTAAATTGATGCATACTACAGTATGTGAAAGCTCCCTCTGCTGAGAAACAAGAATTGTTACAAAGCTCTATTTTATTTTCATATCCAACCAAATGCTGTTTGATATTTGATTTCTCTTCCTGGGGTGCCGCCTTATCGTGGTAGAGGGGTTTGAGTGTCCCAGTGACCCTAAGAGCTATGCTGTCAGGGGCTTTATGCTCCTAGTAGGGCCACCCAAGGCAGACAGGTCCTAGGTGAGGGACCAGACAAAGAGCAGTTTTAAAGACCCCTTATGATGAATATAATAAATGGATGTAGTGTTCCGTCGTCACACAGGGGTCACAAGGGCCCGACTCTGGAGCCAGACCACGAGGTGGGGCAGGCTTGTGAGCGCCTGGTGGCCATGCTTTTACACACGAAGCCTGGGCACATCCCGAAGAGTAAACATGGGTCCCCCTTCCAATGGGCTCACCATCTGTAGGAGGGACCAAAGGGGTCGGGTGCATTGTGTGATGGGTGTCAGTCGAGGTTGAGGAACTTGGCACCCTAATCCTCGGCTGAAGAAGCTGGCTCTTGGAACATAGAATGTCACCTCTCTGGTGGGACAGGAGCTTGAGCTTCTGCACAAGGTCAGAGGTTCTGGCTAGGCATAGTCGGACTTACCTCAACGCATGACTCTGAAGCCATGAGTCTTATCCATAGTCTCTGGGCTCACTCTTAGAAAGAGGTGAGGAGGTCAGTCATCTGGGGAGGACTCAGTGTAGAGCCGCTGCTCCTCCACATCGAGAGGAGCCAGTTAAGCTGGCTTAGGCATCTGGTTAGAATGTACCCTGGACGCCTCCCTGGTGAGGTGTTCTGGGTACGTCCCACCAGGAAACCCAGGACACAGTGGAGGGACTATGTTTCTCAGCTAGCCTGGGAGCTCCTTGGGATTCCCCCTGGAGGAGCCGGCCCAAGTGGTTGGGGAGAGGGACATCTGAACCTCCCTACTAAAGCTGCTACACCATCGACCCAAACCGGGATAAGCGTAGGAGGATGGATAGACATTTGAGTTACAAGTTTATTGTGGCATATATTTACAATGTGGATGGTTAAACATTGTGTGAAGCATGGAGGTGGCAGTATCATGCTGTGTTTTTTTCTTGAAGAATACAAGTGAAGCTTAATCTTGGAGAACAAAAAAAAGAGATGGCAAAAAAGTTAAAACTGGATTCAATTTTACATTCCAGCAGAGGAACAATCATAAATATATGGCCATCGCTTAATGTACAGTAACACTCTAGAAGCAAGTTTATATAAAACGTGTTATAACTACCTAGTTTAAGTTAAGAAAAGAGTAGAAAAGGTCAAGGTGTATAAATAATTAGCAATGCACATAAGTGAAGGTTGTTAAACTATCTTCCTAATGACTCTCCTTTGCAGATGTATCCGGTGAGAGCCACCTGCAGAAGATCTTAGTAAGAAGAAACGGTACATACAGTACAAACAACACAAACTAACTTTATTGATCAAACTGATCCTTTTCCAGCCCTTTATGTTTAAATGGCTGCATGTCTGATTCATTCGTGCAGTGGCAGAAGCTGACCATGTCCCACCCAGTTCTTCTGTTGCCATCCCTTCTTCAAAGGCCCAAGAATTTCTGGCCAAGCTGAGCAGAACAAAGAGAAATGTTTGGGATCGCAGCAGACCAGACGTCCAGCAGTGGATCATGCAGTTTATGCAAATGGGATTCGATGAGCAGGTAAGTTTAGATTTTTATCGAAACTGAAATCTAAATAGATTCTTAATAACTATACTGACTATAAATTTGCTGAAGTGTTGAAGATAATAATCAGCTGACAATTTCACAGCCATGCAGTTAGTATAACCTGTACTCTAAATGGTGTCAATTACCCACCAGTGTCTGAGACGTCTTACTGATTTTGACACAAAATTGACTAAGAAAAGTTGACACTGGCTATAGAGTAAATTTGACACTAATTTAGAGTTGGACCTGAGACAAAGCTATATTCAACTCTGTAGGTGTTAAAGTAACACTTTGGTTTTTAATGAGTAAAGGGGTAAAACATTTCTGACTTAAAGCTGGGCAATTAAAAATCTAATACAAACACTACTTTCAAGTTATAGTCATCCCCTCTGGGAGGTGACCTTAATTAAATGGGCAATGAAATTCAAGCTTTGAAACATGCTTTATAAAAACAATAATTTTTCCCCACAACAATTAAGAAAAATCAGATTTTTCTCAGATTTAATCGGCGACGCCTTCTTTTAAGGTTACCATTTAATAACATGGTAATAACATAGAGAGTTACTGTAGGCAACAAGAAAACCTTTATGGAAGATTCTTGTTAATGCTGTGCTTCAAAATTTAGGAAGACAAATTAAAGTCAGACTTCTTAGATTTCAAACTGTTATTACCAGGTAACTCAGCCAATTCACCGACAGCAATAAATCAATGTGTCATTATCTAGTAAAATGCAGTTTATTAATTGCCATATAACAGAAAACTAAACCTAGAAGACGGAAAGCCAATCTTCTTAACTATATTCTTATTTTTATGTAATTTGAGTTCCATTTTATGATGCTCTACTTACCTGATTACAAGTTACAATTTACTTTTAAATGTGGTGATAGGTTGTGGCCATTAATAGAAACTGTTTTGTGGTAACCTAATGGTAATTAACCACAGAAAGCCTCCATTGTTACGTATAAACATACAATTGTAATAACTACATGCAGGTAATTACTTTGAAACTATATACCTTAAATTTTGGTTATTACCAAATAAAGATTTTTCTTGTTGCCTAGTAATATAGTGTGCCTTGCTATGTTACTAATATGTTATTACATGTTTATTGATGTGCTTTAAAAGAAAGCGTTACCATTACATCTTCATAAACAGACAATCCAATAAGTTGATTAAAACAATCACCTAGCAATAGTCTGACTATTGCTGACCGATGCAGGCATTGATAGGCACACATTGAACATAGAGGTTAAAGGTTTTTCCTCCCAATGTTTAGTTATCACTAGAGTCAGACTGACCAAGGTATAAGGAGTTTGCAGCAAGGTAGTTTTTGCTTTAGGAAAACTTTAAAATGTGACAAACAAGAAGGCATATGTACAAAAGTTAAAATACAGGGAAGTAGAAATATAAAAGCAGACAGTAAATCAAAATAAAATGTTATTAGTCCCCTCTAAAAGACGCGCTCTAGCAGGCACTTAAACCTGCGCACGTTCTAAGGGAATAAATGATAATTAGTTGTAATTCAGACCATAGAAAAGCATGGAATGTTTCCTACAGAGAAATGTAAGACCGCTTACTGATGTAGATTTCTTTCAGGTCATTGCCCGCCATGATTCCACAGGGGATAGTGAGGAACAGAGAGGAAAAGCTGAGTGCTGAAAATAACACCCCGCTGTGTCTGTTTCCAGCAGCTGACAGCATGTTACCATCAGCCACAGCAGCGTTTCTCCTACACTCAATATAGATGACACCTTGTGTATGTGCCATTTGTTGCCGCTTCCTAGAAAGGCCAAAGCTGTCTAACGACTGGCCTTTTCAAGATTTTTTATTTTTTATACGTGTTAATTTGTGGAAGCGGTGCCTCCCGACAGTCACAGCCGACGTCTTATCAGTTGTTGGTTTTTTCTGCTATGAGTTCCCCCTTATATGCCATCCTGTTGGACTGTTTTCTCACCAGAGGCTGGAGGCTGACCTGCAGTACTGGATGGACTACGCCCGATCCCATGACCAGGGCCGTCAGCATCACTACGATGAAAACTCCCCCATCGGCCCGCGGTCTTCTTACAGGCATGGGGCAGATGTCAACTATGACTACTATTAACGCCGCCCACACACACTCCATGTTGTAGGAAGGTAATGAATGGTGATAGATTTCTTGCCTGACAACTTCGTCAAGGGAATCCTGTCAATTTATCTCAGTTTCATCCATCAATTAAAGTCTGTCTTTCTGCTTTCTAACTATTCAGCTAACTTAATTCCCTTCAAACTTGTGGACAAACCAATCAGAATAAAACAGTCCTTAAAGTAAAGTGGTTTAGCAATGATTTTTGGTGGCTTACCCTACTTGTAGGGGTGATTATAGACTGTACACTAAACTGCAAGGTGCTCTAAATTTTTAAGTTAAAATGCACCAAAGGAATTTTTTCTTAATATGTGTTGATTGGTCCTCTATAAGTAATTTGTTCACTAAAAAACCTGTGAGGCCTTTGGAAAACTGCTTATCTTCATTTTTACTGGCTTTTTGAAGCCACTGGATCCTATTCAGAGCTTTTACAGTTGACATGTAGGTCATTCACAGCTTACATTTTAATCCATATATATATATTTTCCTCTGGAGTTAATGCTTCCCTTTTTTTCCATTGTTTTACCAAAAAAAAACAACTATTGTTTTGTTACTTTAATAAGATAAAATATAAAAAAGTTTCAAGGGGTTGAAATCCAAATAAAAGACTATATATTCCTTTGTTTTATTTGTCTGTGTCTTGTTTTGCCAATATAGCTTTTGGAATTGATGTCCTGGATATAGATAATAGCCCAACAGATTTGGCATTTAGTTTGCTGCTGCAAGGTTCAGCTAAGTAATTATGTATGAAACTTTATTATAAATAGTTAAGGGAATTCAATCAGATGCAACAGACAAAGAGACAGAAAAGTAGACAGAGAAAGAGGGAATAAGAATTTAGGTGAAAGAAAGGGGGGATATTTCACCCTAAATTCCACCCCTTTCTGGGTATCTATTATTTCAGCTGTTTAGATGTGTTCTAAGTTCAGTTTATTTATTCTAGTTCATGCATCTAAATTTAGGCACTTTATTTGTTGAGATACTTAAGTTGGTCAAGTGGAAATAACTAAGTGCTCATTACATGGAGGAAAATCCCCCCCGCAATTGCATCCATGGCTCATTACACCAACTGTCAACTAACATCTGAATATATAAAATAAAATAATTATTTAACCTGTTGGATGATTTCTTATCAGTAGATATTCTGGGTATTTGATCTAATCCAGAAATTTGTTCAGGACCTTTGAAAATTGCCAACAAAACAGGCAAACTACTGGAAATAGTTTATTAAAATAGCATCTTCACATCAATACGATACGGCACGCCCTGACAGGAACATTTCACAAACACGATATCTTTAAAAACAATAATGGCGCCGTAAACAGCTGAGCTGGAGGATTTGTCCCAAACCTGCTGTGCACTGCAGGCCTGGCAGATGGACACAATGAGATGTCCAGAGGAAGAAAAAAAAGACGTAGGCAAGTCCCATCCGCACGCACAACACCAAGAAACCCATGAACACCAATACTTTCTTCATGGCTTGGTCTGCTTGAAGGATTCTCATCGCAGTGCATTAAATAGCAAAAACATCACAACCCCATAAAAATAAACAGAAACAACAACAGGCTGTATTTTAAATGCTTTGCTCCAACACGTTGCCTTCTTGATCAGGCCGGTCCATCGGTTGTGAAAGCCTCAGTGAGTGAAATCTCACTGAATCACATCCGCCGCACAGACACAAGGTATCAACAGCTTTAAAAAGGGAGAGAAAGCCGTCTTCGTGTCCGTAAAAGGAGAAAGGACACTTCCAAAAAGGTGCTCTACTCAGCAGGGTACGCCAAAGAGAAGCTCCCCAGGGGAGTCTCTAAAGGTAGAAGAATGTACAGCAGAGCAGACTTCTGCCTCTCAGTTGTGTCTGGGTCTTCCTTTCTTCATGCGGGCAGCTTTAGGTTTGGGGATGTACTGGTTGTTGGCCTGGTGTTCTAGTTCTCTGCTGAAATACTGGATAGTTTTGTTCAAACCCTCCTCCAGCGGCACCTGTTACACAAAACAAGATGTAAAAACATCATTACCATAATAAAAACAGTTCCTAAGAGTTGTAAATACCAAGTTTTAATGGTTAAAATACTCAACTAAATGCTAAAATTAGACTTGTACCATTTTATGATGGACAATCTGTTATAATCATCACTGAGTCGTGGTTTCTCCTCTGACGTGTACAGCCAGACAAATCCGAGACAACAGGCTACAACTTGATTAGCAGACCTACGTATTCACCTGGAGGGATGTCTATCAGGCAGTACAGGCAGCAGAGCTACAGTGGGGGAAATAAGTATTTGACCCCTTGCTGATTTTGCAGGTTTGCCCACTTAAAAAGAATGCAACAATCTACAATTTTAATGATATGTACATTCTAACAGTGAGAGACAGAATCCCAAAGAAAATTCCAGAAATTCACATCATATGAATTTATAAAAAAAATTGATAACCATCTGATGAGGAAAAACTGTAATCTTCCTCCAAATAGATGGCTTAACTTCCCTTTATGATGAAGCAGACACTGGCTGTCCAGTTCTTTTATGCCATTAACAACCACTCCAATCTTAAAAAGGTACGTGTCCTTCCTTGGTACACCAATGCACTGCAGCAGTCACACACACCTGCCATGAAATTTGTACGAGGAGGTGAGAGACTTACAGAGAAACTGTCTTGATGATTGGAGTCAGACGCTTGGTTTAACAAGTTGTCCCCTGGAGTCGACGATTCAATGTTAGCTGTTTTTAACATCATTCAATAGGTGTTTAAAAAGTCAAAGAACAAAAAGCTCACTGGAGCTTGTAGATAATACATTTTAGAGTCTTTACAACATACTAAAGATAATTTTTTTTAGCAGATAGGAAAGAATCTGACATGAAAACTGCACTGTTTAAAAAGTTTGGTATTTTATGGGAAGTCTCACAGTAAAGGTAACTTTACAGGGAATACAAACACTACTGTTAACCGTTTATGACCTGCTTAGATAAAATTCGCCGGGGCATATTTACTTTTCTTCATGCTGTAGAGTAATTTCTTGAAGCAGAATACAACAGAAAAAGGAAAATAGTTTTTCCACATATAGAGTACAGACCAAAAGTCTGGACACACCTTCTCATTTAAAGAGATTAGGAAAATTGAATATTCACACTGAAGGCAACAAAACTATGAATTAACACATGTGGAATTATATACTAAATAAGTTTGGACACACCAGCTCATAAAGGAAATTCCAAGAGTGTGTGATGCAGTAATAGAAGAAAAGGTGGCTACTTTGAAGAACCTAGAATATAAAACATATTTTCAGTTGTTTCATACTTTTGTGTTAAGTATATAATTCCACATGTGTTTTCATTGTGAATCTACAATTGTTTGCCTGAGCAGGTCCCTGAGCAAGACCTTTAACCTACCCTGGTCCCTGGGAACCGCACAATGGCAGCCCACTGCTCCCCAAGGGGATGGGTTAAATGCAGAGAGTTGAATTTCGTTGTTTTGTACTAAAGTTGAATTCTATTCCTCTTCCATGTCTGGTGTGTCGATGCATGTGTTTGAATAGAAACTGAAAATACTAAAACACTGGTTAGAGTACAAGATACAAAGGGGTGAAAACAAGAAGTGGGAGTGAGGCAAAAAGAGCCGTTAACTGCAGAAAAAACGTCAACTCCTGGGAAAAAATTAATATCACTTCCGGTTGTTTCCTTGTCAGAGGCGGGTGAGCACACCACGTGATGCGTTAAGGACAATTTATGCTTCTGACACATAGTCGCTGCAACCGTCAAATCTGTCTCCGTGCATGACCACGCCCCCCGCACAGAGGTTCTGCAACCGTCGTTGTGCACCTAAAAAAAAAATCCTGATTACGCGTCAGTCGGTCGCAAATCCGCACATACCTCAAGCGGAAGTGCGCAGAAAAAAAGCAGCTGTGATTGGTCCCTGGTATTCCTTTCAGGCTGTCTGTGTGGTCGTCCTTATCTATTCGGTCCTGGGGCGTGCCATTTTTAAAAACCGAGGAACAACTACAATGGACAACTTTTATGCCAACTCCAATAACAGAACCTGCTCCTCTTCGATGTCTAGCAACTCTAGATCCATCTCTGTCACCGTGATACCTTGCAGACGCGACATTGTTGTCTTGTAAGATAAACAATCCTGCCGGCTACGCCCAAGTTCTGGTGACCAACCGGCAAAGTTCTTGCGAGTTGTCGAATAGGCTCCCCCTTGTGCTTTGGCAAAAAACTGCTGTGCATCCCTAGAAATTCCAGACTGACGTTGCAGAAGCATACCAGCAAAACTGGTTCACGACCAGACCCAAGCGACATTTGATGTGTGCGGTTGTAGAAGTCTAATCTGCCCTTTAACCCACCAATTACTGTACATCACATATATTGAAATGTAGAAAGTATAAAGCAGTCTAGATTATAATGTTAATTTTTTTTTTTTTTTTATATATATATATTTAGGCTAAATAAAAATAACATTTTATGGAGGAAAACAGTGCTCTGGTACTCAATGTGAGTAGAATGTTTAATTTTGCCCCCCCGGTTTAATTTCCATAAAACAATATTTCTGCCACATATAGTTGCAATTCTACGGGCATCTAAAAAAAGATAAGCAAACGGGAGCACCATCGCTCCCACCGTTCAAAAAGGGTAAATGCCAATGATGCCACTATATGTACATTAATAGATGGTTTCAAATGAAATCTCTAATTCCTTTTTGGCTGCAGAGCTGTGTAATAGACTGCTCTCACTCAAATACACAGATATATTTATATTTAAAAAAAAATCTGTCATATAGGCTCATCAAATCAAAGCTTCACCAATTTATTCTCTTTGTGACACATAATATATTATCTGCCGATTCTGACCAACCAAATATGCACATACTGAAGGTTCACAGGCTCTATATAGATGATGTTTTATCATAGTGTAAGAGAAATCCCAAATGTTCTTCCTTGACAGCCCTAATTTTTGTGTTTCATTGGTGAAAACACATGAGGGTTGAGGCCATTTCTTTTTAAATGAGTGAACGCCAACAGCTCATGTTACTGAATGTCGTGCAGCACACATACCACAGGCTCCCAGCCAAGCATCATCTTGGCTTTGCGGATGTCGGGTCGCCTCCTCTGGGGATCATCCTGGGCCTCCGACAGAAACTGGATCTGACTCCGGCTCACTGCATATTATAACAAGAGAGTAGGTTTTTTTTTTTTTAAAAAGGGACTGAGAAAGAAATCTCACAAAGAAAAAAAATTAATTGTTCTCTAATGTGAATCCTATGAAGTGGTGAGTGAGAGGTTGACACATCAAAGAACAGAGGAGACAAAACTGATGTCAGGTTTTCATACCAACCCCCTGTGAAAACCTCTGCTTTAAGCTAAATTTAAATCTCCATGTAGAGCAGATAAAGAAACTTTATTCAAATAATCACTAAATTTGTTCTGTTTTTTTATGGAAGCTGAACCAGAGATGAGCAGGAATGAGAGATTACAGGGGTGCACTGAAATAGCGAGGAGGATTACCCTTACCAACAAGACTTTTGATGAGTTGGGCAAACTCCAGTATGGTGTGTTCTTCTGGGTTTCCCTAAAATCCAATGAAACATGTTGATTACATCAGTTTGCCAAAGACATGACGATGCATGAAAAAGATTATCCTTCCTATGCAGCATTATTAAGACCGTCTCTGATTATGCACTCACCAGATTGACCGGGCTGCTGATGTTGCTGTTCATCAGCAACACAAGGCCGTTTACGAGGTCGCTGTAAAAAAACACACAAACAAAAAGAAACAATTTTATCAACATTAAACTCACAAACTTTATATTTAGATAAACATTTGTGAAAATGATTATATCAGTACTTGTCTTGGCACGAAATCTGAATTTTTCTTGAAAAAAAATTACTTAGGCATTAGTTGCTTTCCTATTTTTTGTTGCAGTTGTTTTTTTTGTTTTGTTTTTTTTAAGTGGCTCACAGGAAATGGGATTAAGAAATGGGCTTAAAACCTTCACCATGACCTGCCCATCCTTTGTTCCTTTTGATAGGAAAAGGTAAAATCACTTTATAGTCAAACATTTGATACATTTTTGTTTAATCCACCCTGTAGGGTGCAGTGAGCAATTTACAGAGCCTGGTGAGCATCTCTGGATAAGGGAATTGCTCAGGGGCCTGTTTCAGAAAGGAGGTTAAGTGAAAACTCTGAGTTTGTTAACCCTGAAATGAGGGAAACTCTGGGTTTTCTGTTTCAGAAAGGGAGGTAAGTTAAACCTGAGAAAGCAGAGTAAGTCAAGCCCGTTTCTGAAAGAGAGGTAACTTAAACTCAGAGTCAGTTACCATGGCAATTTACTCTGTGAACCTAACCTGGTCGGGAGCAGGTTTTCTTCAGAAAATCCAGAGTTTATTTTGGTCTCCTCTCCTTTTTTAAAGAGGAAGTGGTGTTTAAACACCTCATTGATTCTTTGGGGACATACAGTATTCATTGCACACATTTCAGTCACGTAGAGCACATCAAAGGGAATGAAATGGCATGTCCTTTTATGGATGATCCTGTTTGTAAAGCCAGGTAGCTACTCTACTCCCATGATGTGCTCAAGGCTTACCTGCTTGAAGTATGTTTTTATATTTCATTTTCAGCTGCTGCCATGTTCTTTTGATGCCTGCAGGATTGCACCTATCCATGAAAACTAAATTAGGTTTAATAAAATACTGTTCTTCCAGTTTCACCTCTGATATTATAACAGTTGGGTAGGTTACTCTAAAATAGTTCTTAATTACTAACTACAAATTTTATCTTCAACAAGTCTAATTAGATTAATGTAATAATTACTGTCTCTAGAAAGTATTGGTCTACTTACTAATTTGTTTTACTTACTTATTAATTACTTTCTAAATCCCAAATCAACCTCAACCACTTGAACAATACAAGGAGAGACAAGAAACTGCACTTCTAATGCTTTCAAATAAACAATATTCAATTGCATGAATTAATCTTAAATTGACAAAAGTGTGTAACTAGAGGGAGAAAGTTCAAATCAAAATATACCTTTTAAAAATTTGATATTAAATCCACTATTTTTTTATAGTCTTTAATTTAATTACAGTATTTATATGACTTAAGTAACTTAAATCATTACACCCAACACTGTATAAAAGTAATTAAAATGTAAACTTACGCATTGACTCTAGCAGCTATTTTCACCCAAGCTAACTCTCTCTCCTTCGCCGCTGCAGCCGTGTTGCTTTTTTTTTTAAATACATGTTCAAATTCTGCATATGCTTGCATAAGCACATCCAGTTCTGCTGGTGAGAAATATGCACACCTTTTTTTGTCTGACGTTGTTGCCATGGTGACTCATAATATCTGTGCTCCATTGATAATGGCTTTTTATAGTTGTGGTGCACGCGCTTAACTCAGAGTCAGTCAATTTAGAGTTGATTGAACTAACTCATTTCTGCTGTTCTGAAACCCAAAACTCAGAGTTTCTAATCTCAGGATAAGTCAACTCAGAGTTCATGTTTTAACTCAGAGTTGGTTGAACTTCCTTATTGAAACAGGCCCCAGGTGTCTAAAGTGGAAGTCTGAGTTTTAAACCAGCAGCCTTTGCAGACTAACAAGGACACAAACATGGAACCAAGCTGGAAAACTCTCCCTCTAACAACTAGACTAGAATTGTATAATGTTTACAATTTTCTAGAAGCTAAAGTGAGCTAGCATACATCTCCACATTTCTCGGCTAAATTGTGTTTAAGCAGGTCTGACTTGTGTCAGGTGTTTTATGTCTTTCAACAAGTTTTCTGTCATTTTTCCTTGTCCCTTCAGTCAGCCTAATTGACTCGGATATCATGTAAAAAGCTAAAGATAAACTTCATTTTATTGCTTCACACCAAGGCGGGGTTACCTTGCAAGCGAGACACATTGCCACGAGATTTGCAAATTCACAATCTCACAAAAAAATCTTGCCAGATGCCAACAGCTGCATTAGCCTCAATACAGAAATGTTTCGTACCAATGAAATGCAGTGACGGGAATGATGTCAACATGGCAGAAGGCTGAACCAAAACAAACATGGCTGCGCCGGTTTCAGCTGGATTACAGCTCCATTTGTTTTTGAAAAATGAGCAAGATTACTTTTTTGCCTTTTTCCTTTGCGGTTAACAAGAAGCACACTGGGATTTTTGCCTTTGGGGATGGGAACATGTTTGCACGTTCCTCCTGGCCGGATTTGGTAAGAGTTTGATTTATCAGTTAACTCCTTGAAACAAATCAAGAATGTGAAACGTCTCAGCTGCTAATGTGGCTGTGATTGGCTAAAATCTCGACATGGGAGGCGGATACCCAATCAGTTAAAAGAATCATACCGAATGTCTCTCCTTTTTGTGAAGATGTTCCACAGAAACCTACTAAGATTGAAACTGTATATGAAATGAATGGATACACGTATCGTTCTGGCTTATGCTGGGTTAAAGCACAGGCATGCAACAAGAAAACAAGGCTTTATCAGTAGAGAGCTCAATTCAAGATTGTAAAGGTGGCTAAACATGAAGGAAAATCTGTAGAGGAGAGGTCTGCCGACAGAGATGCCGCCAAAATGGGACTTATTTAAAAAAATGTTTCTGCTATTTAGAATGGCAAATATTGCAGAGTTCACATGTAAGACAGACACTAAAGACTGAATCATTGAATTATACAATACTTCAGCAAATTACAAGGTCAGATATGCGTACCCTTCCATGAGCAGGATGTTGCAGAATTATGTTTAATATTTGCTTCAAGAAAGTGGATTTTATTAGACACAATTATAGTGCTACCATCTACCTGCTTGGATGTCCTGACCTTGTTTAGGTTCTGGCCCAAAGCACAGAGATTTTCCATGCAGATTAAACCCTTCCCCTTGAATAACAGAAATACTGGGAACGATACTATACCACTTAACTAGTTAATAGATTGCAGGGCTAATTTTCTGGTTTTAAAGCAAATCTGTAACTATTTATGGGTTAATTCTTTAAAGGTGGGATGGAAAAACATATAGGATGTTAATACAGCTGAGAAAAATAGAGAAGCTTCAGGAAACAGGTGTTTTGAAACTGTTTTAACTTTCTGCTGCAAAAATATCAACATATAATGAAATATTAAGGTGTTTATGTCAAGTTTCAATGGCTCAATAACTTTCAATCTATAAATGAGGTTGTGTTAACATTTACACTGTCGACACTGAAGAAGGCTTCTTATCAGTGTCACTGATTACTCATTTCTACAGCATCAATTAAAAAAATATCTGGATGGCTGCCTAAAGGACATTAAATCAGAATAAGTTGAAACTGAATTCATTATTTTCAGCTTATTTCAACTTTAGGAAGTTAGCAACATATAAAACGTAATACTTTCTTCACTGTCTGGACTGCATATCGAAATGATCTTCTTACTGAAATTAAACTGGGCTGCGACATTAGTTATCAGCTAAAGGGTGTTGCTAGGTCTTAAGATTGTGGTGTGCAGAAGTTTAGTTTATTATTCTTATTACTTATTAGTTTTTTTTTACTTCAAATAAATATAACAGATGTAGCTGAAATGAAAATGAAGCAACATGAACATATACAATAGTCATATATTCCCATATTTGAAAAGTTTATACTTTTTAATAATCCCGTCCCTTTTTAGTTTTTGTTGATTTATAAATTTTCCTGTATTGCACTCGTTTTCTTTAAAGAAAGCACCACATTAATATTCATATGCACATATTCATACAAAAACCCAATGCATGCATGATTTCACACCAATCCCTATTTCTTTCTATCACAGAGTTTTGCGAAGTATTTATATCCCTTTTACCTTTCCGCATTTTGTCACATCACAATAACAAACATAAATTTATTTTATTGAAATCTTATGTGAAAAACCAACACAACGGGGTAAATGTTGAGTAGAAACTAAATTATACATGATTTAAAAACATTTCTTACAAATAAAAATCTGGAAAGAGCATTGAGCAAAAGTATTCATTCCCCCCTGAGTCAATTCTTTCTGCAACCACCATTTGCTACAGTTACAACTTCTTTCCTTTAGGGTTCGTTTTTGCAGCTTTGCATATCAACTGAGTGAAGAACAGTTTAAAAACTTCAGTGTTAAACACAAAAAGTGATTGTGAGCTGCAGTTTTAACATCCTGCCACAGATTCTTGACTGAGTTTATTCTCGACATTGAATCAGACCTAAACCTTTGATCTCTTTGGTGACCATAGACTTTAAAATTAGAGCGCCATTGTTGACAGCATGTGTGTGTGAAAGCTTTCAGTCACTAGGTGAACATTTTCTTCAAATACCAGAGAAGACAACATCATAAGTGTTGACTTCCAAGCTTTACATTTAATTTAATAAGGAAAACTAGAGATGCTCTTCAAGCTCCAAGTATCTTTATGCAACACACACACTGTACCAAAACCCTGTACCAAAACCTTGGTACAGTGTGCAGTTCTCGTGCAGTTCTCCTCTCTTAACCGATACTGAATATTAGGTTACCAAATACTATGCTATGATAATCAGATCCAATCATTTGAGGTCATTATATGTAAAATAACTACTTGGATGGCACGTAGTGTAAAAAGAGGCACGGTGTCCCTGCAGTATATAAACACTTCTGGATTTTTTTCAGATTGTGTGTTTTCCTTTAAGAAATTTATTTAGAATAGTCAATTCAAACTGCAACATAACGTTTCTGTAACCTTGTCCTAAACTCAGGTTTGAACCTATGGTCTTTTAGTTCTGTGTGGGATGGTTTTTGAGAAAGCACTAAAAATGATCTATGCAGCTTTATTTCCATCTCTAAAGGCAGCTACTGTCAGTTTAAGGAACTTCTGAGCGTAATTATGTTGATTTAGTTTTGAGTCAAAAGAAAACTGTAACCAAAAATCATGTGATACAAATTAGCCCGAGCAGCTCAGACCATTACTGTCTTGCAAATCTTGGTTAGGTCATAATAGATTGCTAGAATAGGCTAGAACTCATTAGCTCAGATTAAAGAAAACTGTTTTCTTCTGTGAACCAAACACAATTTAAGATTTAAGTCTTAAGTGAGACTTGAATCAAAGCCACATACTTAGACCCCCCCTCTCTGTTTTAGATGAGCCACGGGAACTGGTAAAATGAAGAGGCAAACAACGACATACAGAAACATTTTCCTCAAGCAGGGCAGCATTAGTTGAGACATTTATTAAACTAAAAGCCATTTTTGGAATAATTACAGTTAACATCAATATGCTTCAAGAGAATTCATTTATACTGTTAAAAGTTTGTTAAAAGGGAGAAATGCCTGTAGATTTAAGCCCAAAATGAATAAAAATGTTGCTTTTCCCCAAAGGCTTCCTGTTATTTTGTACATTTTCTTTTATGTGCACTGATATAAACCTTCACCAAATAATGTTTATTCAACACAAACCTAACATTAAGCAGCAGGTACATAGTTTGATGTGAGTTTTAGAGATAGAACATCAAATGCTCCTTCTCTGTGATCGCTCCCTCTTAAACTGATTAAATTAATCGCTGCAACCTCCACGAACAAACGATAAATACTGTTTGAAACTGGAAAATACTGATATTTGAGTCAGGCTTGAAGCTCTATCAGTCCGCCTCCGACCAAGAATTAATTTACCACACAGCATATGTCCTGTTTTATTTATACACCAAAATCTCTTTCTGTTTTACACCATTATGGGCAACAAAACCATCATTTAAAAACAGAAATAAAATTCTGACACAAATCCCAATACTTTTCCGATCCCAGAGATGTCTGATCTAATTTCATTATTGCTTTTTTTTTTTAGATAGCTGTGATAAACTCATCTCTGCAGGTAAGTATGATATATATGAATTTACACAATTTTTGTTTCTAAAAGGTAACTAAAAACAAGAGACAGAGAAAACACTAAATCATGGTAACAAGAAAAAAATTAATCTTTAAAATTAATATACAACTGCAATGGTTCTAACCAACCATATCTATTAAACCTAAGACTGAAACCTCCCTGCTTTTCAAGAAATTTTAGCCCAACTTCATTTTAATTACTTTTTTATGTTTTAGTAATTTTACCAACCTTTGGTTGGTAAATTTTTTTACCAACCTTTTGTGGCACCAGGGGCCATCAATTTTGAACCTTTTCACAATATTCTAATTTTCTGATATGATGAATTTGGGATTTTCATTTGTTGTCATTTGTAATCATCAAAATTAAACAAAATAAACATCTGAAATATATGAGTTTGTATGTAATGTATGAATATAATATACAAGTTTCACTTTTTAAATGGAATTACTGAAATCAATCTACTTTTTCATGATATTCTAATTTTATGACCAGCACCTGTAGTATACCATACCAATTTATTTCTAGTGCACTTCAAAAACTGCATAAAGGCTAACCAAAGTGCTGTGCAAAACAATGAAGACATGTGTAGACATAAATAACACTGTAATTAAAACAGAAAAAAAGGAAATAGTTAAAAAAAAAACAAGCACATTTGAAACACAGATAAAAAAATAAAATAAAACTCCCCCTGGGCTTACGTAATGGGAAAAGTTTGCTTTCAGATGAATTTTAAGAACATTGAGAGGGAACCAACTGATAGGAGCCAGAACTGCAAAAGTTCCCTCTCCTCTAGAGTGATACAAACACCGATAAAAGCATCTCGTCTGCAGATATTGACGATGCAGCCTTATTTTGCTGCGTTTCTATATTTCCTTACAGAATGCATCTTGTGATTGAAAACTAAGTAGCCACTGGCTAAATGTCCACCAGAAAACTGGCTGTTTCAGGTTATGAAGCTCCTTCATCTTTGTATAGACTGGACCTGAAAATGCATGCAGTGTTACATGTTCATAAAGGCTCTCAGGGTGCAGTATAGAAATAGTCTGAATAGATTTTCCCATATGGATAAGCTGCAGTGTCACTGATATCTGAACTTAAATATTGCTCAAAATCAGCATCGAGTAAGAATAGAAAAGCAAAAAAAAAAAAAAAAAGAATGAAAAAATGGATTGCTTACCTCACATACTGGAAGGCTCGAGTCTGGGATCCAGTACCATACACCTGAAAAGACATCAACTCAAGTTATTAGAATATGATAAAAAAAAATAAATAAATAAAAAACTTGTATCTTCTCTGTAAAATAACCCATCTGGGTGTGTCAAGTAGCTGCAAAAGACTCGAGTTTGAATAAAGAGGTGTTATATTCAGGAGGCTGCATCCTCAACAATACATTTTAATCCCCATGGGGGCTTATATGGGTGTTGACAGAAATAATAATGCAAGCATAGATATTTCAAAAGCATCCATTTGTCACACACACACAGTTTGTGTTTCTCTATCCTTGTGGGGACTTTCAAATGACTTCCATTAATTTCTAAGCCATTTCTACAGCCTAAACGTGACCCTAACCCTAATCTAAACTCAATTCACACCTTAGTCCAAACCTAACACCAAAACCTAAAACAGAATTTGTACCCATGGGGACCAGACATTTGTCCCCACTACAGCACCTGGCCCCCACAATATGCTAAGATTTATGGAATTGGTCCTCACCATGTAATAAAAAGGCACTCACACATACACACACACGTTTATTCTGCTATATGTAGTGAGGACCATGTGTCGACTTCCATTGATTTTCAGTTATTTTCAACCCTTTCTATGGCCTAACCCTTAAACTAACCCTAAACTGAACCATTAAAAATGCATAACTCACCCTATCCCTCCTGACACCTTAGCCCTAAACCTAACCATTAGCAAAATACCTTGTGAGGTCCTCATTGTGATGGTGAAATCAGAAAAATGGTCCTCACTCTGGTTCCTATACAAGCTTACACCCACACACACAAAAATGAAATGAGATCAAGCAAAAAAGCTTAAATTGCATACAGTGAGAGGTTCTCCTTGTAGCGCCTGGAGGATGAAATTACTGACGACTCGCCCGTCATTCATGTGCATTCGCGAACCAAACGTGTTGAAGATTCTTGCCACTCTAACCTCCACACCCTCCTGCAAATAGAGATGAAGAGGAGTTATGGGGCACAAGCTTTTCAATTTACCTCAGACTTGTTGGGCTTATCTGCAAGAACCAAGGGGCTAGTTTCAGGGAAATACAGTGTCGCATCAGCACATGCTAAACACTAACATTTCTGCAGAATGAGAAAAATATTCATCCCAATCTCTGAAAAGCCAGGTCAACTTTCATTTGCACTGAAGATAACATGAACAAAGACTTTCATTCATTTCAAATAAAGAAGAAAACATCCTTTAGGCAACAAACTGCAGCAATTGATGCAGCCTGCAGTATTTAAAGAAAGTGAACCTCCGTAAATAAAGAAGTCTCCAGTATTTTGATTATAACAAAAGTATATTGAGAAAACAGATGTTCATCTTTACTGATGAAGACTTTTAGGTGATAAAATACTCATACAGATTGCCTTATGCAGCAAAAGTTTCAAGAGTTTTTGAAAATATAAAATGGTGATAATATAAATCATTAACTTGGAATTTAAAAACGGTTAAAATAAGTGTAATCACAATCCAAGTTCCAACTTGAGACCTTTAACCAGAACCCCATGAGAAACCCTGTCAATTTTAAGTTTACAGGTGTTAACGTATGTGCCTAAGTGGGGTTTTATAGGAGAAGTTTTTGAAATTTAAAGTTAAAAAACAAAAATAAGATAACTGAACACAAGAAATTTTAAGCATAGCTCATTTCAATGCCTGTTGGAGTTGGATTACACACAAATAAAAATGAATCTACAAAGTTTAAGTCAAAAAACAAAAATGGATTTGTGCCCTAAGAAATGTGTTGCAGTTAAAACACCACAAGTGGAATGCAGAGTAATGCAGAGGGCTGTACAGTGAGTGTTTTACTCGCATTTCTAGCGTATGAAAAGACTGGGGCAAACTGGTACGTTCATGTGAGTACAGATTTTCATTCCTTTCATTTGCATTTTGCTCCTAAAATAAGTCCGGCTTAATAAAGCATCCATTCTTTTAGTAAAACATATGAAAGAGCGAAAATTTCAAAAAAGTCAAATAGCAAATTTGTTGGGGAAAATATTTAAGGAACCAGTTACTAGACGTCTCTGTTTCTTAATAGATTTAAAGCAGCGACACCTATTTGACAATAGTGAGCACACATTTACCTCCCTATTCGCACATAATCGTGAGAGAAGCACTGTGAGAACGTGTCTGGCCATAGTTACTGAGGTCAAGCACCCCTGGATTAATCAGGTTATCCAGTTGAAAAAGACAGGAAACCAAAGAGTTGCCTTAAGTTCAGAAAGTAGTGGGGTTGTACATAGAGCCCATTCACAAGAACACAAGACTGAGAACGGACAAAGTCCCGGGATTTTGTTCTCACCCTTCCCCTCTTTACAGAGCATGCATCAGAGCAGACTTGTGCGTTCTCCAGACTGACAGCTGTCCCAGCATGCACTGTGGCAGAAGCAGCTGCCAGTGGAGCGCTCACAGAGCTCAAGAGTATTGACCTAAAAGTTAACTTTTCTGGTGCTGCTGTTCTATAAAAGAACCTTTGAAGATAAATTAAGGCAAGAACATTATCCTTTTAAACTTCACTATATGGCCTATTTACTGATTTAGAGCGTAATAAAAATAACAAATTTCTGATGTTGAGAGGACCATGACAAGCAGCGAAGCTCCGCAGCTAACTACAGCCTGGACTAACGCCATGGCCGCATATTAAGTACCGCAGGCTCTGATGGAGGTTTTTTTGTTTTATTTGGGAAAAAATTGTTTATTTTGTTTTGAGCTGACTGTGTCAATAATTATTCACCCAGTAGATTAAAAAAGTAAGTATTTATTATCTAGAGACTATTAATAACAGGAGGTGAAATGCAGCTCCAGATGAGTTTTGAATGCGGTGAAGTCACATATACAGTGATGGGACTAACGGCGTTGAAAGTAACGGCGTTACTAACGCCGTTACCTTGTTTTAGTAACGAGTAATCTAACTAATTACTTTGACTGTAACTATAACGCAGTTACCATTGCAGACACCCCGTTACTGCGCGTTACTCAGGCCGCACAATTAACCTTTTTTCATGATAGGACTCGTGCGCAGCTGCGTGAAGCTGACACCCCACCCACGTCAAAAAACTCTGCAAATAGACTGAATGGTTAGTGCAACGTTAGTGCAGATTTGTGCAGAAAAAAATATTGTTTGTGCTACTTTTGTTTAAGAGATATTAAAGATTATTTTTTAGGTCATCCAGAGGTGCGCGCCTTGTCATGAGAGAGGGGAGGATGAGAATGGCTGATGTATAGTGAGATTCCGTCTGTCAGTTGGGTAGGTGGGTGTTTCTGCTGGTGGGTGTTAACGTACAGCACAAACAGAGAGATGGAGAGTGAGGATGACTCCAGCAGCAAAACAGCGTTTTCCTGAAGGAAATACCGGTGTTACGTCGAGCTGCGTTTCCCCACCACATAACGGTTTCCTCTGCATCTCCGCACAGCGCAGGCGGCACGAGTCACCGCGCAAGCGACAGGAAACGCGCATGCTCGCTAAAGGTGCGCAACAGTCGCCCTGTGCTCGCGCCACAGGAGAACTATGGAGAGCGTGAACGATCAAATGTTAGCCTATATGGAGAAAGGGAGAAATCTGGATGGATGGATGGATGGATGGATGGATGGATGGATGGATGGATGGATGGATGGATGGATGGATGGATGGATGGATGGATGGATGGATGGATGGATGGATACTCTGTGGCAGGGATGGAGATCCATATTTTATGTCACACACAGAGTATAGATCTAGTAGATAGATGGATAGATAGATGTTGCAGTATCTATAACAACCCAAACACACAGGATTTCAGAATTAGACATCCCCAGTTATTAATTTCACCAGATCTGAATGCCCTGTTAAAAAAACTTCACATGGCGTTCCCCCCTGATGTCATTTACATTGAGTTGCAATAAATGCAAAACTCTCTGCAGGTTCTTGTCTTTGTCGTCCGCTCTATTCAGCTGGCTTTGGAAACACAACGCGAGAAGGTGGGGGCTGGGTGGTGAGGGTTACCGGGCGAGAAACGCAAAAGTAACGCAATAGTTACTTTTACTAGTAACTAGTTACTTTTATTGTGGAGTAACTCAGTAACTCAGTTACTTTTTGGGAGAAGTAACTAGTAACTATAACTAATTACTTTTTCAAAGTAACGTGCCCAACACTGCACATATACGCGTCTGCTCCAGTTGAAACAAGTTTATTCTGCATGCTCCCGTTCTCCCAGAGTCAACACTTTTCTATGTTCTTGTCAAGAACGTATTTGGTGAGAACATGAGGCCATACTTGTATGAAAATCATGTTTTACGTCATTATCCCGCACCCCTTCAAAGACCTCAAAAACAGTTAAGGATGGAAGCGATCAGCTGTGAAGTAGGACAGTTTAGTCTTCTGCAGCAGTCCTGCCTTAGCATAACTGAGGTGTAACCCTGACTGCATGAGGCATGAGCCTATGAAGTCTAAACATTATCTTTGTAAACATCATTTATCAGAGAAAAACACAAACCACAGAAAACATATATCTATATGGCACTATTGTTATGACTGGTCATAACTAAGAGAAGCAAGTAATGAATGCCAAATTACAATGATTATGGTAAAACATTCATAAGTCATTATGATGAAGATGGGGGTCTATATTTTCATTTTTAATGGAAGATATTAGCAAACAGGACATGCCTTCAGTTTTATGCATTTTAATTGACTTTAGCAAGACTGCTAAAATGTTTAGAGATTGGATCCAACTCTTCCCTTTGAGTTTGAGGACAACTTTACAGTATATTGCAAAGGGCAGAACCAGGCGGGTAATTCAGTGTGACTGGAAACACCCATTTGAAAAAAAGATGACCTTATGAAACATTAATTATTACCCAGGTTAATTTGAAAAATTGTGCTATTTAAAAACGTTCTACATTGTTTTAATTTGCATGCACTCGTTTTGCAGGTAGAAAAGCTAAGCATACAGCCCCGGAAAAAGATGAACAAAGAACATCAGCAGAGTTGACTCAGATAAGGTTCTGAAGGCAATCCTAATCCTCATCACCTCCATGTTTCAGCATCTCATTAGTATCCATCAAAGCACATATTCTGGCTCAAACATACTTGCTGAACGGTGTGTAGCAGCAAGAGGTTGGTTTACATCACATGTGTCAAACTCAAGGCCCGCGGGCCAGATGTGGCCCGCCACGTCATTTTATGTGGCCCGCTAGAACTCCCACAGCCGTCATTTTGATGGTTCTGAGATTTTAAAGGGAAAGAACTATATTTAAAATTAAATTTATGTTGCTCATGTTAACTCAATTTTCCTGATTCTAAATTTCCTTCATTTTCACTTTTTTTTTTTTATACAATTAAAACGTAAAAAATAAATATGGTTAATTCTACCTCGATCCCCCACAACCGCCATTTTGACGGCTCTATTAGTTGCATTGTAAATTCTTCCCGCTGTTGATTGACGATTGGTACCGTTGCCTAGCAACCAACATTCTACCTAGAACTTTTTGGCTAATATGGAAAAAGTGGCGTTCAGAAGAAACCTAACAGCGAAACAGGTTTTAGAAATGCTTCAAAATATCGATGATAGTGATTCGGGCGGAGGGGGAGAGACCGATGAGGAGGACTAGGTAGGAAGCGGCTGTGTGACACGTGTGTGTTAGAGGAACAAGCAAGCATATGTTTTCTATGCAACTGTAATTGTCACTTGAATAAGTTATAATAAATAATGAGTTATTTAACATTAAGGAGTCGTTACATTTATTTTACATTACATTCAATTACATTTAGTTACATTTATAAGTTACATCTGGCCCTTTAAGGACAGCAATTACTCTGATGTGGCCCTCAGTGAAAATGAGTTTGACACCCCTGGTTTACATGGAGATAAGGGATAAAGGGACAATCAGAATATAAATGAAAAAAATTATATTCTGATTAAGCAAGTTAGTTTATGCCAGTGGTTTTCAAAGTGAGGGCTGCT